ACATGTTCCCCATACCATTGCTGGAAAGACAAATCCAGATGCCAGTTCTAAACTTTTGAACATGGTCAGACTTCAGCCCTACTTCACTGCTATAATCTTTTTTGCTGTTTACCGCTGCTAGCACAACTAAGTATTATTGAAAACAAAGGTTGTCTAAAAACATTATCAGAGCTAACACAAGACTAAAACGCCTCTAATTCACAAACAACCCATTTTTCTCATATCACTGTGTCTTTGTCTAGTCTACCAGCAATTATACCAGACATGCAAGGTTAGCCCAAAACTCTAATCCTAATATTTTAAATACAACAGACTATCACATGGCATTTGTCTGTATGAATAAACCAGTATTTTATCCTACCACTCCCTTCTTTTTAAGTAGCCAAAATCACAACAGTGAAGGCGAAAAAATTGGAGACAGTACAAAACTGAAAGGAACAGGCTTGTGAAATAAGTTTAGACTAAATTTTAGAAGTGGGAGTTTATCTTCTGACAACTTGCTAGAATCTGACTTTCAATCCTACTTTCATTATACCATGTACAGTTGAAACAAAAAGTCACAGCACATCTACAGTATCTACTTGTTTCCACCATGAAAAAATTCTCAGTTATTACTAGCAAATAAGGTTCAGAGTATAATTTTGTAAGAGAAGACTACTCCTCAGAACATGAGTTAAAAAACCAAAGTGGACACAATTCAAGAGTACTTACAGACTGCTACTTCATGCTCTCTCAACCTTCTCCATCAGTTCCTGTCTCTGTCAGTTCTTAGCTACTGTCCTTCCCCCACACTACTATATTCCTCCATGTTCCTCCAGGAAGAAGGAGAAGAAGGGGAACTAGGTGATACTTTCCTGTTTGGAAAACTTAGAAAGTATGAGGACATGTTTCTTAGCATCTTCTATCCATCCCAAAACACAACAATTAAAAACACACCACCAATTCCCTCATTTCTTAAGCACACTGCAACAGCCAAAGCCCTGACCTTGGGGGGAAGAAGGCCATCCCCACATCTTTAAACATTACAAAACTCTCTTTACAGGGAGTTTTCTCTCCTAGTTCTAACTGGGGCTGTCCATGCTTGGCAGCTGAAGCTTGGTTTTTGGCCAGTATCTATACCACCATCAAGAAGGTAAAAAATTTCCCAAATGCTGTGTACCAAATAATGCATCCAGGAAGAAATGACTGGTTCTGTTCTCCTGTCAGACATAACAACACCTCAGCCATTGTGAAACATGCAATGCACATACACAGAATGAGTCACTCAATTGCTCAGACCCCATCTACTGCACAGCCTCCCATCCAGGAGAAACATCATCCATTAGACTGAACTGGCACACACTGAAGCACAGTAGGAGAGATCCCCCTCAATATGCACCCAAAGTTCACCTAAGTTATTCCCTACACATGTGTGACATACATTCCTTATACCATGTTTCCACATCCCTCCAAAGATTATTTTAATTACTCCACAGGAAAGATACATTATATATTTCATACATCCAATGGCTGAAAAAGGCTCAACCACACCAAGCATCAGTTATCAAGATTAACACATTGTAATGTAAAGAGAACACAAGAGAAGAATTCAAATTTAATTCATATGAGCATCTTTTGATGCTCAAAACTGTATAACCAGAGAGTAACTAAGGACCTGATGTAATACGAACAGAGCAACTCCAATGTACTTTTTTAAAAAAGAAAAAGCAAACACTTCATATAATATGATAATTTTTTTAAATGATGCACAAAGAAACCTATAAAATGTATAGGATTTCTCCAGGGAATTGACTTTTTTTAAAACTGATTAACTATGTAAACATTACCATTACTGGAATCCTTAACTCTCCTTTATTTGTGCAAGTATACTTCGCACAAACTGCTTATATACAATGCAAGTTCACAAATCAGCATCAGACAGAGAGCTAAAGCTCATTCCTTCTTGCATTATTTTGCAAAATGTAATGTAAGGGCTGAACTGTGTGCAGTGACATTTCCCTGCCTCCATGAATTCTAGGTAAGCAAAACAAGACATTACAGACCAAATCAAGTATGAGTTATTTCATTTGTATTTACAAGATGACTGGGTTGTGACGTTCTAATGGTTTCAGAAATTAAAGCATGCTGCTCCTCTGACAGATTTGAGCTAGGAAGTGTGTTCCCACTGCATATATTGAGTTAGACAAATCCCCATATTTACTCTCTGTAAACCAAGTTCTCAAGTTGTGTTCATCATTTTTCCCACCTTCATTTTAAGTTTTATGTTTTGTATTGGTTTCTGGTGACTCAACATGTAAATCAAATGAAGACTGAACCTCAAATGAACAAAAATGTTTTAATTTAAATCAAGTATACAATACAAATAAATGTTAATAGTTTCAAATGTATCCCTCATTTGTAGATAACTCCAATTATAAAACTGCTAATAAAGCATTCTAAGAAAGCATTCCTTTTGCTTTTACTTGCCTTGACCACATGCAGTCCCCTAAGCTACAAAGCCCTCCTTTAATTCAAAGGCAATACCCAGACTACAGTAATTAACTTCTCTTACTCTTTTACTAATGGATTTAAAAATATAAAAGGTGTGCTTTGCTGTTTAAGAGAACACCCAGCCATATAACAGTTGATACAACTTTTAAATTTGTATTGACATGACTAATGATCATAAAGTAAAGCAAATTTTCCAAAAAGAAGACTCACATATCACCATCCATTTCTCCAAGTATAATTGAATATATCACAAACATGTTTTGCAAGTGATTAGCATATACACTCTAAATGAAAAATCTCAGCATCAAGTAAAAAAACTATCCTGAATAAGGCAACATTTCACAGGTAAAACCCTGCCCACATACAATGACTATCCAGTCACAATAAAAGCAGTTTGAAGTGTTGGAAAGAGCATTAGAACTGCTAATGCAATTCACTGGATTCAAAACTTATTTCTTACACATTCCCACGGCACCCCATGAAAAAGAAAACTTCCAAGAGAAGGCCAGATGACTGATCCCAGTTGTTTATATACACTTGACAAGCAAAGCATTCCTCAACTTGAAAACATCAGTCCCTCAAGAGCAATGAATAGTAACCATAAGGACAAGTGTTTCACATGTCCTTCCACAAAACCTGAGTGAAGCTGGCATGACATCACTACACACACTGTATGCCTCAATTAGACAGAAATCCCATTTTCCCTTCTTAGCAGTATCTTGAGATAACTAAAGAAGCTCCAGAATAAAATCCAGTTTGTTCCTCCCATATTTAACAGCTTTCTTCAGGAAATCATCATCCTTATTTATTTGCACTACTTCTATGCACAGACTGTTTTCTTTCGGAAACCAGACAGCAAGTCCATTTTTACAAGCAAAAAGCACAACTTTTTAATCCTTCTGAGCTTTCCCTTGTAGTTTTTAGTAACTGTCTCCAATACACCTGCCTTGCCTTCTTTCTTACACTCATAATGTAACTTCTACAATCAACAGAAGAAAGGAGTTACATCATCCGAAGCATCTTTATTTCACTGTCTGGGGAGTATCTTAAAATTTGGTTCCAAAATGGCACTACCCACTTAGGACATACCACTCAAATTCTCATAGATTGAAGTTGCTCACAGTACAGAGTAAAAAGGATACTGAATCCATTTACTTCTCCTGAAGTGAGAAATGTCAGAATTACATGGTCTACCTGAAACTACTTCTACACTAGAAAGAAGAAAAAATACTAAGGGTAATAATTGATTTTATATTTTTTGCCCTGAAGCCGAGTACATGGAGCACAGTTTGCTGCTGAAAGACTCAGAACATCCTCAGTATCCCTCCAAACTAGTAAATACATAGCCAAGTTTTAATTAGTTAACACTTTGTCCTCCCAGGCATCAGAGAAATAATCATGTCAGTTCGTATTTCCATTGTGATTAGCTCCCACGGAAGTACCTTAATAACTACACTTGCCTCACGATTCAGAGAGTGAGTCTAAGCTTGTCTCCAACACTGCATGAACATACGGAGCTGGATGGGTCCAGAACCCATGTCACTGACTTCCCACAGCTCTTCCTAGAAGCAAGCTTACCCAGAAACATTATACAGGTAGATCTAACAGAACTGCTGTATCGACAGGCCGGCTGTGTTATATAACAACTAGTCCAAATCCAGCAGGACCAGTACTGAATCTGAGCAACTGGGCCTTACTAGACAAAGCTGGGCTTAGCAAGCAGCTAACACTGATCAGCTTCAGGTGAAAAGGCAGGTACATAGCACAAGCTACAAAGTCCCTGAACATATGTGAAGAATAAACTGCATGCACTACAAAACTTCTGCTTCTACCACTGAAATAGAATTGCTCTCACGCATTCATTAAAGTTCTCCTGTCCCACGTCCCTTTGCATAAACATTATTTCTCACTCTGCTACTACGGAGTACTGATCTAATTCCTGTGATAGATTTGAATAAAAAAAGCAAAATAAATACTAAATTAACAGCTATTTGGAAGCCCTCTCCTTGTTATAAAAGTATGCTAAACTCATAACTGAACTTGAGAAATCAAAGTTACAGCAAAGCAAACACCCACTTCTGTGTCCACAACAAATTCTAGCTCCCATTTTTCTGTCCTCTTACAGACAGTCACTTCTTTTTTAACTTCAGTGGGAACTGGTTTGAGAAAACAAGGGGGAGGGACAGAGAAAGTATGACTTTTACAGGCCCCGTGCAACAATGCGGGAGTGTTGTTTTGAAAAAAAAATATGGTAAATCAAGTTTTAAAGTAAGAAGCTGACAACACTACATTAATCTAGAGCCACTGTTTACAGTCAGTACCTAGAAAAGTCTTTTGTGTAGAGGCTCCAATTTACCTCTAGGGATTTTTGTTTAATAAAGCATACACGGCTGACTAGATATCAGCTCACAATGACCAGTTAAAATCTCCCAACATGCAATTACTGATGCTCAAAGTAGTTCATCTTGTATGAGCACTCTACCCCCTTATTTGTTAAGTGTACATCCTACCTTCACACCAACGGCAACATCAGTGACAATGCTGCAAAAAAAGAAAAAACAAGAACACAAGTCAAGCAATTTATCCTCATAAACCAAACTTTTCAACGCATTGTAATGACAAAATTGTGAGGAAAGAAACAGGTAACAAGTTCCCTGAGAAAGAAACTATGTTCAAAAACATATTGGACTGAAACACAAAAGAAACTTTAAAAAGCCACTGAGCTCCCACAGTTTATAGGCCTTTCCAAAGAGAACAAAGTTTCAAGTAAATGCTACTCCAAAGCAGCACTGCCAGGAAATTTATTTAGAAAACTCGGATTTCTGGACTAGGTGAGATTACAGGGTGGAAATACAGTAATTTAAAAGTAAGTACAAAACTTCTCACACACCTCGTAGCTGAACCTTTGTTTGACCTACTCTTTGAACAGCAGAAAGCAAAAATTTTTTTTAATTAGCTTGGAAAAAAACCCCAACACATTGGCAGTTACACCTATATGAAATTTAATGAGGTACACCTATGAAAAACACTGCAACAGGTATGTCAAGGTACATCTTTTCCTTAGAGGTTGTGACATCACCACTCACAGTGTATACCACAATCCAAAAAGAAACCTCAGTCCACAAACACATACACACAAAAAAGAACATGGGAGAGCATTCCACAATGTAGTACTCATTAGTAGTTCTCGGACAGGATTTGTAACTCCTACCATATAACCACAACCATAAAAAGCCTTTGGAACTCTCACAGTTGAAAGGTTATATGCATAAAGCATACCAAAGAGATGGCTTTTCTGTTTGAAGCAGAGTAAACAAGCTAATAGGAGATTTAGAAGCAGAAAGCTGTTGTATTTACACTGACGAAGGCTACATCCAGCAGCCCGCTTCCCAGGTGCAACAAAAAGCAGGCCTGGCATGTAGTGCCTGCCCATCCCAGCCCTCTCTGTCCCATACTGCCGACTGCTTCCAACCTTCCCTTCTTTGGTTTTTACAGCCAGTCCACTGTATATACAAAGGCATCTCTCCACCTGAAGAGGGGGGGAAGCCGAAGGGCTTATTAGGCAGTTTCTGAAAACAAAAGAGCTCGACATCTGGCTCCTGCTGGCATCGCTCCTCCCCTCCAGCCAGCTCCAAAACAAACCCGAGCCCCGCAAGGCGCCCCTCCTCAGCCCCTGGCCAGAGGAGCGATGCCAAAGGCGGGGGGAAGGAGGGAGCGAGAGGCTCTGGGGGGCAAGATAATGGTAGATCGCGCCCCTTCTTTACGGCGTCTCGGGCACTACACTTAAGTAGGGGGCAGCCCAAGGCCCTCGGCGATTTGAACGGGGGACCCTACAGAGGGGCCCGCGTTAGGGAGAGGCTGAGCCCCGTCCTGCCCCGCTTCCAGCCTGTGCGGGGCCTCGGGCTTCAGCTGTCCCGCGGCGGGAAGCTCATCGCTACCCACACCCTCGGAGACGCCCGCCAACAGCCAGCGAGCGCCCGGCACCGGGACAGGTGCCACCGCGGACCGGCAGCACACGGCGCGGCAGTGCGCTCGCTCCCAGCGCCCCGGTGCCCACTCACCCGTCCATCGCCGAGCAGGACAGAGCGCGGGCAGCGGGACAGGAGCCGCGCACGGGGAGGCTGAGAGAAAATGGCGGCCTGGCCTGCACGGAAACCGCCGAGCGTTGCCGAGTGCCGGGCTCCGCTCCGCGTCCCCCTCCCCTACCGCGCAGGCGCCGGCAGAGCGCGCATGCGCCGTGCGCGCCGCTGAAGTTTTTGCCCTCAGCTACCCGGTCCGAGCCGGCCCTTGAGGCGGCGCGAGCCTGCCCCGCCTGGGGCGGGAGGCGGGAGAGGCGGCGGTGGCGCCTTCCGCACCCGGCCCGGGCCCGCGGCCGCGTCCGAAGGGCCCGGGGAGCGGCCGCAGGACAGCGCCGAGGCTGCTGGGGGATCCCCAGCCGTCGGCATTCCCCGTCGCCCCGCCCGGGCCGCGGCTGAGCCGCCGGACCCCACTTGTTGAAGGGAGAGAGTTCCCGGGCTTGGTCCCTGCCCCTCTCCTCAGGGAACACGTTCAGAGGGACCCGCGCCGGGCTCCTGCCTTGTCCCCATCGCTCGCTGTCCCCGGCTACGTTGTCACTTCCCACAAAACAACCTGTTGACTATATAACTGATCGCTAACACTACATAAAAATAATAAAGAGGAACGTACAAAGGAACTACTGCAGTGAATTGGGCTGTTTATTCACAGAATAAGTGTCTCCGTGCATCTCTGTACACTGGCGCGTCAGGGTACAAAATACGTGGCTATTACGAAATATACATTTTCTCCTCGTTATCTTTTGCCAGATCTCAGGATTTCATCACAAATCTTCAAATGTTTGATACATGTCTAGGTTTTCCAGAAAAGCTGTGCATGAGAAGACCCTGGATTGCATTCAAACAAAAAATCAAACTAAAGATTTTATACCTATGAAAGAAAATTTGAAATTGCGATCCAAATGTTCCTGTAAGATCCCAAACCCAGAAGAATGTTTCAAAGTATTCAAAATGTCTTCTGTGATTTCTATATTTTGATCTAGCAAAAATATGTTTAGAGAAGATAGCCCATTACTTGATTGCACTTTAATTTTTTCAGGTTAGTGTAAATTCCTTGGAGTCTGTCATCAAAACTATTGCAATGAAGCCTGATAAAGAATTTAGGAACCAAAAACTATAAAACTATACATAGATCTATAACTGGAAAATTTTCAGTATGCTTTAATACTCCAGTATCCTCCTCTAACTGACACCACAAATAGCTCATAACCGGATTAACAATTAGGAGCGTGTACAAATTCTCATTCTACTCTGCAACTTTTTGTCGTTCTGTTCTGGAAAAGCCACTCTGATTCGCTGCAGAAGTTTACTGATAATGCTTCTCCTAAATGCCATAATCACTTGGATATCTGCAACTACTTCCTCTTTCAGAAATGGTCTTCAGCACCCATCACTGACCACTAGACTAAATTACTTATTATTCAGTTTCTTAGAAAATCCCTCTTAAATATTTGATTTGCTGAGATTGTATCTACAGCCTATCATGCCACATGCTATGCTTTAAGGGTTTTGCCTTCTACATTGTTAGGTTTTGTTTGTTGTTTTGGGGTTTTTTTTAAGTCAGTGGTTGTAGCATTCTTTCCTGATTACGTGTGATAAAGTACTATGATCATGATGAAAGTAACATTGAAGACATCAGAGATATAGGAGTGCATGTAACAATCTCCACAAATCCAGGGTTTATTTATATATTTACTCTCTCTAAGTATAATCCCTGTATATTTTGGCATACTTACTAGGCTTTGCACCATTGGAAGTTGGGTTTATAATTGGTTTCTCTTGTTTCCCACTGCCTTCAGTCCTGTTTGATGCCACATTGTACTGGGATTGTTTTTGTCTTTTTTCCCCCCTTATAAATCTAAATACATCTTATGCATTTTTGTACTGGTAGAAGTACTAATTCTTCCACTTCTTAGCAATTAGCGATTGATTTCCATCTCATTTCTCCAAATGCCTAATTTGCTTACCTTCTTTGCCTTTACAGTAGTGCCATCTTCAATCCTGTTTTTCTCTTCTGTAATATTTCTTTTTTTCTCTTTCTTTCATGACACCTACCAAAATCTAAGTAAATTCACTAATGCTCATTCAGTTTATCCTGAGTTAGAAGCTCTTCCATGTAGAGCAGGCTGAGGAGTACCTGTTGAGTATAGCAGAAAAGACATTGGAACTGAATCTGCAAATCTGGTTGATATAACGGATATGACTTTATACAGCAAAACTCTGATCCCCCACCAAGCATCAATAAAAGTGATAATCAATCAGGATTTTACCTAGAGCATTTAATTTTAAAAGGGATAAAATGGTACAAGTATAAAATGCCATGGCACCCTCTTGATCAGTTGTTCATGCAGTGTGATATTCCACTTTGCTGAAGCTTTGCCTTTTTTACTATTAGATCATTTTTAGTACATTTCTGAATGCCTTGTGAAATGTCTGCCGCATTTGGAACACTGTGATAGCATCATCTGTTTATCTGGTTGTCTGTTTTCTCTGTTGCTAGAGTGTGTTTTTGCTTTGTCTTTCTCATGTTTCAGAAAATCAGAAAAAAAAAAATCATTCCCAAAAAACACCCTCTTGTCCTTAGGAGCTGTCAACTTTCTGCTGAAGTCCTGCATCAGATGTTTCAGAAGGCAGCTGAAATGTCCAATAAAAGACAACCATTACAAAAAATATCTTCAGCACAGCCCTCCACATTCAGTTGTTACATTACAAAACAAATGGGCTTATATACTCTATCCATTTTATTCTAACTAAAATTTAAGTGCAGATACTATTATCAGCTGTTCAAAAGTTCCACACCCTTAAAATCACAGTAATCTTACTGCTGCAGCAATATCTTGTTTTCCTAAATAATTTCCTTTGATCATTGATACACTTAGATGTTTCGCTTTGTTCGGTTGTTTCCTTTTTATTTCAAGAACAGCTAATAAATAACCATCTGTGTAGTTCAGTAGCAGTGGAGTAGTTAATGATGTTTGCTTCATGGAAGATTGTAGGAATTAGAAAGCACACAAAGATATTTTCTGCTGTACATTGTCCCAGACTGAGTCTCTGGAGTTGCTGGGATAAAACAGCGTCTACCCTGTCAGAGAGCAGCTTGTCCAAGGGTTTGCCTGAGCACTTTTGGACATCCACAGCATTCTAGGGCAACAAGTCTTGCGATTTAGGAAATTACTGTCTGAAAAATATTTTCTTTTGGTTGTGTCAAGCCCACTGTCTGATAATTTCCTTTGATGTCCACTAGTTCTCCTTTTTTTAAAGAAACAGATGGATCATTTTTTCTGTGTACCTATTCTTGCTGTTCTTGAATGCATATACCTCCATCATGCTGTCTCCAGTTATCTTTCAGGAGTTCTAATAAATTTCATGTTTCCTCTATTAGAAATCATTCCCAGTTTTCAATGATTTGTTTTGGTTTTTTTAATACCTTTCATACTCCTATTCTAGAAGGCCATAATAGTTTTCATTATTCAAGTTACACACTCAATGGCTTTATATAGGTGCATAATAAATGCTTTCTGGTTTTATATTATTTTTCTTTCTTATAACACCAATCTCATTTGCATGTTTGAATCCTACTGAGCCATGAGCTGGTGTTTTCACAGAACCCCCCACAACTCAAGCACTCTCTGCTGTGTGAAAGCCATTTATTTAGATTCCAGGATTTTGCACTTATATTTTGGCTTGTTTTCTCTCTCACATATTACTTCCATTTTTCAGCACAGAATTTAACTTGCCATTTTATCATTCAGTCACACAGTATCATGAGAGCTTTCCACAATTCTTCACGGTCAGCTTTTGTTTTTATTACCATGAATAATTCAGCATCATCAGCAAACTTGGTTGCCTCGATAATCACTCTTTTTTCCAGATCATTTGAGAATATGCTGAACAACACAGGTCCCTGTGGTGCACTACCAATGACCTCCCTGTACTGTAACAAAATAGAACATTTTACTTGTCCTTAATTTATTTTCTTAATCTAGTAATAATAACTAATAATTAACAATTTATTAATATATCAAAGAATGTACCTGTTAGTCTTGTGTCAGCTTAATTTCTCTCAAGAGCTTTGGGCAGAGAATTTCAACAAATTATTTTTTTAAGAAAATGTTATCACGTTGTTTCAATCAGACTATGCTAAAACGCATTGACTCCTTCAAAGAATATGATGGTTCTTGCTACTAGAGGCACTTACACAGTAAAAACTCTTCATTTGTCCTTATTCCAAACAGCCCCATCTTTCAGTTTCCCCAAATTGTTAATGGTAGTGTCATTAAATGGTGTGGCTTAGAACAACAGATCCTCGGGATATTATGGGAAAGGTTGATCATTTGGTTTAGCAGTCTTTGTTATATTAAACCACATTATTCTATCTTAAGCCAGTCCTTATCATCTTCATAAATTCCCCAGATGCCTTTGAGCGAAGTCCCAACATTTATTAGTAGCTATTCATCTTTTTGTCTCCTGTAAACAATGTCCTTAATCAACATTTCTTCCCACCAGTCTATGTTGATTTACTTTGTTTTCTTAAACTAAGTTTTGAAGCTATTGTGTAGCTCTTAGAAGCACAGTGCCCTAAATAAATGTCTCTTTTTCAAGTTCAGGTCAGAACTTGTCTTGCTGGCCTGAATCCCACAGGCTGCTCTCCAACATTTTATTTCTAGCATCCTTGCTAGAAAGACAGCTTATCTTGGGCAGGCTGGGAATGTTACTGCTCTCTACTATTTCAGACACTGAAATATGTGGCATAGCTCATCCTGTACTTAACTGAACATTCGTTTGTGTCCAAAGGTCTGCTCATGACAACCAGATTATTATCTGTCTGCCCACTTTCTCTCTCTAGCTTCTAGGATATCCACCTGGAAATTTATTTTCCACAGCAAATTCACCTTTTTTTTCTATCACTCTGATTAAAAACATGTACATTTAATTTCTTCAGGACTGGAGATCAGTTTTACTTTTTTTTTTTCTTTCATTCCATAGGGTTTCCTTTGTTTTGTCTTGGAGAGATGGTGGAGTAAAGATCATATTGTGGGTCATGTACAGCCATGGCTGCAGCTTTTATCTTGTCAAGGGCAAGAAGTGAAATGAATCTTTTTCTTTTTTCCTTCTTTTTTTCCCT